AAAAAAAAAAAAAAAAAAAAAAAAAAGAATACATCTTTTAAAAAGGTTGGGGGGGGAATAATTTGGCTTCAGCCTGACACTATTTTCGGTTTAAAGATTCCATTTCAGTAGTGCATCCCTATAAAGAAGCACAGCAGAAGTCAGGATAAGTGGGTCAAGGGGTGAGGTATAGGACCACTGCCTCACCATGAAATTGGAAAAGTGACATATTACGTGGTGCCTAATTCTAACCTGTGCAGAAATCAAGGTGCAGCCTTGGCTTAGGATCCAATGGACCCTTCTACAGGAATTAATATAAAAGACTGAAAAGGGTACTTCAAGGCAGCATGTGGTCCATACATATCAGAAGCATTTAGGCCAGGTAATTTTTTCACACAGTTATTAAAGCACTGCTGTGAGAAATGCTAATATGCAATAAATCACAGTAGACAAATTATCAACGTCAGATGAGTGAACTATGGCCTGGCTGCTTTTGGTCACTGCACCATGGTTTAAAAGTAGTCCCCTACCTAGATACGCATTTTGTAGAATAAAATTTTCCTTACCAGTTTTCCTTCTTTTTGCTGGGGAATTGACCATTTGTTCTACCAAAGACTCTTCAGTGTGTTCGCCTTTTACTGCTTTTGTATTCCTCGCATTTCTTTTTCCACGAGCAGTAGGAACATTTTCTGCATCTGCTTGGTTAGCCGTGGCATTATCACTGCTAGGTGTTTCAGTAGTAGCATTTCTCCTCTTTACACCTTTCGCCGGTTTTCTGGACACACCTTCTGCTTCAATGTTGCTCTCTTTAGCCAAAAGGTCTTTTTTCTGGTTTTTTGATTTAGCTGGAGATTGGCTTTTGCTCGCTGCAAGTGCAATGCTGGCTGCCGTACCTCTCTTTCCTCTTGATGTTGACACTTCAACTGCTGCCACTTCATTGTTCTCGCTATCTAAGGGCTTGCTAGATGCTGCTGCTTTCCTACCTCGAGTTTTCTGTAAAGCTTGTTTGGCTGGAGACCGTGCAGTCACATCTGGGGAAGACTGTACATCTGAACTTTTGTCCTCTAAGTGTTCCTGAGGAATTGCGGGCCGCCTTCCTCGCCTGCCTTTGCTGACAAAAACATCTGCAGCGTTGGATGAGGTATCGCCTTCGGAAATAGCTGGAGGTTCAGATTTGTCGTCAGAATTTTCTCTACGTGGTCTTTTAGCAGGGATGGCCTCTGACATGTCAGCTTTCGTTCTACCTTTAGACCTGCTACCACGGGTAGAAGCTTCAATAGTGGTTTCTTCTACTTTCGCTGTGCTTTTTGCATTTACATCAGTGGTCAGCAGAGGGTGCCATTGTACAGATTTTGAATGCCTTTCGATAACACTGGGCTCACCTGAATCTTTGCTCCTTGCAGTCTTCTTGCCCTTTATTTCAGCAGGTTGAGGTTGTTCACCGTCAGGTAAGCCCCTCTTACCTCGTGTGGCTCTTGATGTTTCGGTTGCTGTAGGTTCAGTTTGCACCTGAGAAGTCTTGTTTGTACTCTCTTGATTTTTTCTTCTTCCTCGTTGTTTTGATACTGGAGCACTAGTTCTAGATTCCTGTTCTTGCTCCTCTACAGACACATCACTAGTGTCTATTGTTGGGGATCTGCCCTTTGTTGGAGTTCTTTTTGGACTTAAATCTGTAGTTGCAGCAACTTCTGAAGTGCTGATTTCTGCAGAGTTGTCCTTTTGAGCATTTCTGCTCGGCCTACCACGTACTTTCTTAACAGGAGGTTCAGGCTGTATATCTTTCTGATACTTGGCAGATCCTTTAACAGATTTAGCTGCTGGACTGTTGGCCTGGTCAGGAACATCGACAGTCTTTGATGTTTCGTCTAAGTTCTTGGACTTCGACTGGCCTCTGCGTCTTGACTCCAACTTAGGCTCTTCTGGTTTGGGACCAGCAATATCTAAAGTGAGGGGGGAGAAGACACGTTACAGCACTGGCAACAAATCTGATAAACCTCACCTACATCTGCCATGAAAAGCCTGCATTAAAAACACACCTGCCAATTGTTCTTCATTCCTACGTCGTCCACCTCTTCTCGCAATAGGTTTACCAGCGGGCGAAGTTTTCACACTTAATTCTGCCTTTTGTGAATCTTCCAAATTGGACTGAGGTTCTGTACAATAGAGGGGGGGGAAGCATAAATAGCTTTAACAAGCTGCAAGAACTGGACAGAACAAGGCATCAGTTCAACTAATGATCTTCAAACATAATATATTGAACAATGCAGCAATTCCTTTACTTTTGTGTAAACCCAAGAAAAATGTGTGTGTATATATATGTATATATATATATATATATATATACACATACATATATATATATATATATATATATAATGTAATTTAATTTAATTGGGTGGCCAACAATCTTGAGATGCATCTGCAGATATACCACAGTATTAATGACCTCATTTAAAAGAGACTGTTGCTGAAACAATTAAAAAAAGGAGCACTATGAGGATGAGTGAAAATCACTCATCCTCATAGCTTGAGCCGACGTGCAACAAACTGTCACACGTCAGCTCGATAGATCAGAAAGTGATTGAACACATACCGTCACTCGCTCACCTCCCTGCAGAGAGCCGTCAGTCACGGCTCCCTGCAGGCTCTGCCTCTAGATAGGCAGAGTCCGCTGTCACTCACGCAGCTGGGTGGATCTCGACAGTAATGTCAGGATCCGTCCCGCCTCGCGATATATACTTGGCTTTGGGTCACGGGAGGACACCAGAATATGTCCTCCCGTGACCCTCGAACTTAATAATCGGCTAACTAATCGATGTTGAAAATAATCGTTAGCTGCAGCTCTAATCGTTAGTTTGTGAATGAATGAGAAGCCTCTGAAAAAAATAAAAAAAAAATCCTGCTAGACTCAGTGGTACGAGCTCATGCCCTGTGTCACTACTAGGTCTTGTAGTGAGGTAGGGACCCTGGAAACAAGTGTTGGATTCTGCAAATTTTTGAGGTGGCAGTTTCTCTTCACTACTGTAGACATCCACAGCACTGGGAGTGAAGTAGGAGAGTATAAAATTCTATGCAGGGCATACTTTATTTTACATTTTAGCATTAGAGTTGCTTTAACCACCGAAAAACCAGGTTCTGTTTCCAGAAATTAAAGACTAGAACTGTTACTTTTGCAGGTTTTCCTTCAAATTCTTTAAAGAAGCTTAAGGTGAAAAGAAAATGCTTACTTTCTGTAGACCTGGCAGGCCTTCCTCTAGGTCTAGGTGATGTACCCTCCACAGAAACTGGTAGAGATTCTTTGGATGCTTCTCTGTTTTGGAGTCTTCCACCGCGTGCAGGCGACGTTACCTCGCTGTCTGAAACAGGTTTTTCAGGTAGGTCTGCAGTTTTAGGTCTTCCTCTGCGTGTAGGAGAGGTTACCTCACCCACAGCTGGAAGAGGCTCTTTAGGAATATCTGTAGTTTTAGGTCTTCCTCTGCGTGTAGGTAACCTTACATCACTTGCTGCTGGAATAGGTACTTTAGGTACCTCCACAATTTTCGATCTTCCTTTGCGTGTAGGAGAGGTTACCCCAGCGGCAGCTGGAAGAGGCTCTTTAGGAATATCTGTAGTTTTAGGTCTTCCTCTGCGTGTAGGAGAGGTTACCTCACCCACAGCTGGAAGAGGCTCTTTAGGAATATCTGTAGTTTTAGGTCTTCCTCTGCGTGTAGGAGAGGTTACATCACCTTCTGTTGGAAGAGGCTCTTTAGGAATATCTGCAGTTTTAGGTCTTCCTCTGCGTGCAGGAGAGGTTACATCAACAGTTTCCTCTGGAACAGGCTCTTGAATCACTGCTGCAGCTTTAGGTCTTCCTCTGCGTGTAGATATTGGGTCTCTACTTGAAGCAGGAACAGGCTCTTCAGGTAGATCAGTTTTTGCTTTAGTTCTTCCTCTACGTGTCAATTTCTCGGGAACATCTGCAGCGATTTTTGCTCTTCCTCTGCGAGTCGTAGGTGCTTCTTCAGTTACCGCCACGGGCTCTTTGGCCAATTCTACAGAGGCTTTAGGCCTTCCTTTACGTGGAGATGTAACTTCAGAGGCTGGTTCCTTAGAAGCATCTGCAGTGCTTTTAGAATGCCCTTCGTGTGTCTGCAGGGTCTCCTTGTCAACAGATGATTGTGTGCTTTTAGTCGTTCTAGTGTGTGCTGGGGAGGTCACAGCAGACGTAACTGGAACAGAGTCTTTAGGTACTTCTACAGGGTCTTTAGATCTTCCTCTACGAGTCTGTAAAGTTACTGCAGCAACAGAAACAGATGATTCCTTGGAAACATCTTCTGTCCTCTGCGGTCTCCCTCTGGTATTCTTAACTTTTCCATCTGTAGCTGGGTCCAGTTCCTTGGCCACCATTTCTGTAATAGCGTGTCTTCCCCTGCGTTTTGGTGAAACAATTTCATTAGCAAATGGCAGAGATTCTTTTGCGGCTTCTATAGACCTTCCCCTTCGTGATGGTGAAACTACTTTGGTTTCAGAAACTATAAGCGATTCCTTCAGTTCTTCAGAAGTGCTCAGCAGGTTGCCATTACGAGATGGAGAAGCCACCCCAGCATCAGTTTTATCAGATTCTTCCGCAGCGGTACTTGGTCTTCCCCTACGTGCAGGCGAAGTAATCTTTCCAGAAGAAGCTTGAGGAGAATCCTTTTGGTTTCTTGTAGTTGTGCTAGTTCTTCCTTTACGTGTAGGTGAAGTACACGTCTCATTTGGAACTGACTCACTGGGGGTCTCAACTGTGCTAGCTCTCCCCCTATGATTAGGTGAAATTATCTTATCAGAAGAATCTGTAAGAGGCTCTTTTACTACTTCTGAAGATTTCCTAGGTCTACCTCTACGTGAAGGTGAAGTAATCTCCACAGCAGAAGCTAGATCTTCTGCTACTGCTGCAGTATTGCTAGGCCTTCCCCTGCGTGTAGGCGATGTCATCTCCTGAGAAGCTGGATGAGATTCTTCTGTTGCTTTCAAAGTTGTGCTAAGTCTTCCTTCACGTGCAGGCGACGTTACCACCTCAGTAGCAGCATGAAGGCTCTCTTTTGTTACCACTGCACTAGCTCTTCCCCTCCGGGAAGGTGATGTCACTTCAGTAACAGAGTCGTTGGGAGTTGCAGCAGTACTTCTGGGCGTTCCTCTACGTGAAGGTGAAATTGCCTCCTCAGAAACAGATTCAGTTTGTACTTGTGAAATACTTCCCTCATTTGCCTGTAAAGTTGCCTTGTCAGCTATAGGAGATAGAACAGTGCTTCTGGGTCTTCCTCTACGTGAAGGAGAGGTCACATCAACATTAGAAACTTGAGACTCCTTTGGTACTTCAGGGGTGCTTCTGGGCCTTCCTCTACGTGAAGGTGAAATTGCATCCTCAGAAACAGATTCTGTTTGTACTTGTGAAATGCCTCCCTCATTTGCCTGTAAAGTTGCCTTGTCAGCTATAGGAGATAGAACAGTGCTTCTGGGTCTTCCTCTACGTGAAGGAGAGGTCACATCAACATTAGAATCTTGAGACTCCTTTGGTACTTCAGGGGTGCTTCTAGGTCTTCCTCTTTGAGAAGGTGAGGTCACTTCAGGCATTTCAGCAGATTTAGGCATTTCTGTAAAATTAAATTTTAGATTTTCAGCCCCATATGTGCAAAAAAACCCAAACCATTAGAAATCTGACCATTAGCATTTTATTCAGAAATGGGAATGAGGAACAAAATGGCACCCTGTGATTTTGAAAGGACCAATCCATGCTAGTTTCTAGACAAATGGCAAAAATACAGTAGGGCAAGTCAATTTGCATGGATCTGGTAGGAGGCTGTAAAAGTTGAGGGTTAAGCTGGCAATGATTGGCTCAAATTACAGTAATTTCTCATTCTCTGCTGACCTTTAAGTGTATGGTCAGCTTAACGCTAAAGGGTACACATAGTGGTTATGTACATCTTATGGCCAGGACTAAAAGTATTTCTTGTAGCCAGGTAAAAACTAAAGAAACTCCAGGATTCTTTCAAATTAATCCTTGCAGTGGGGCTACCCAGTGCTCATTTTGGTCCAGGGACAAAAATAAAGAATATACTCCCCTGATCCACAGTCCCACTTGGCTACTAGACCAACCCCTACAGACTCCTCTTTCCTGGTCCAAGGCCCCCAGGATATCATTACATAATACAAGTCCGTTAGTCGTGAGGATGCCGATGGACCTACCTCAGCTGGAGCACAGGGGGAGAGAGGTGAGCAGTCACTACCACATGGCCAAGGAGTAGAGGAGTATATCTATTTTCACCCCATACCAAAACAAACACATAATCCTTCTAGTTCAGGGGTAGCCCCACTGCAAGGGTCAATTAAAAAAACAAAAACTATAGTTCTTTAAATATGGAATAATTTGCTTTCTGCTTGTACCAGTAGGAGCAGCCTTATGCTTTTTACATTTAGCAAGATCTTATTCTGCTGCTTTGCTTAAAGGAAACTTTTAATGGGCTTTACAGCACAATGACTGGTTAACACTTTAATTGGGTAATCTGTTGAAATGGAAAAAATAGAGGGAGAGAGAAAAATAAATTTCATTCAGTATATAAAATGTTCTCACCAGATGCAGGTAGAGCAGGAATATTCTTGGATGGTCGGCCTTTCTTCTTATAGGCAGATTTAATAACCTCGCTGATACTCTGCCCACCAGATTCCTGTGCAATCTCAAACTCTGCTACTGCCATTGTTTTCTGTACTTCATTCACTGTTTGAAAACATCAAAATTAGTAGAAGATAAAAAACCCCACAAGACTGAGAAAACAGTCAAACACAATCTTGTAAATGCCTAAGCATTTGGAATTATTGTAAGGCAAGAGGAGAGATCAACTAGCCGACATTCGGATGTGCAAAACCTGAATAAAAAATGTCAGGCTTAAACGCATAGAATCATCCTAAAGAAAAGCAAATTAATACATTTGCCAGAAGCTATACCTGTAGTAGCAGTTTCAGCTGGAAGGGACAGTCGCTTGGATTGTCTTCCTCTCTTCGCAGGGGTATTAGAACTTGCAAGAGCTAGGTAACAAAAACAAACAAAAAAACTTTATAGGGTGAAAAAGAGCAAGTTGCAATTACCTTTAGAGTGGGTTCACATTGCTGAGCTGTAGTAATGCGTGCCAGTACATCATGCAAAATCATGGGTTTGTGCTATCCATTCTTAATGACACCCCAATGCACCCTGCCAACAGACATGTGTTGCAGTGCACTACAACACAATGCAGTGAGCTGTCACAAAGCAGTACACACCATTTCTGGTGCATTTGACAGCCCATTCAAATAGGCTGCCTTGGTGTAACGGAGATGTGAACCCACTCTCAAAATGACAGTGCTTCTAAAGGCCGCTCCCCTCATCTATACTCTCCTTACCAGCACTCCCCTGCCACCAATCAGGAAGCCAGGCTGCCTAGCAGTAAGTGAAGACAGCTTACTAGCCAATCAGGCACCAGGGTGGCACGTCAGGACCCACCGCCCGTCTTCCTGGATTGTCAGAAAGCCAGGATGCCTCGCAGTGTCGTGAGGGAAGTGACGACTGTTCTTTTGATAGAACACCGGTTTCCTAATAATCCAAGCCCACGGATGACTGTATTAGTGAGTTAGTGAGTACCGAAAACAAAAATATACAAAATCGGGACTCGTACTTGATACCGAAAAAATTGTATCCGTGCAGCCCTACTTAATTGTGTTTAAAAAAAAAAGAAAAAACCGCAGTGAACCACACTTTAAAGAAGCCACTCCTTCCTTTAACCAGAGATTACTTGGCACTCTCTAAACACATCAAAGGGTCCAAGCGACATACAAAAAGTTAAGTCACACATGGCTTATTAGCTGAGGCACACCTAAAATCACCTCTGAAGCCAATAGTTTAGGAACACTGCTATAGTGTAAAATTATCTGAAGCCAATATTGGATAATAAAGAGTGTGAATTGAATGTGTTTAGGACCAGAAAGTACAGAAAACCAGCACTGGGGGTGATCCATTCAAAGCTGACCAACTCAAAAGGTTAAAATAAACAAAACAAAAAAAAAGCCATGGACCATAGCACATTATTCGAACCAGGCCAACAGTCAAGCAGCACTCAAATCATTGTACGTAAATCCGACAAGCCATAAACAAAGTATACTTACGTCTTAAAGCTTCACTGGCATTTTTGAAATCTGCAGCCAAAGCCTGCAAACAAAAGAAATGGTTATTTGAAGCTCTACCGGCTAGAACAGTGCATTACAAAGTCTAAAAAGACAAGAGCCAAACATTTACACGGCCAGTTGACCAAGATAACCATAAAGTATATCACGTTTACTAGTTCCCATAACATCTGGCTGGAAGCTGAAGTCTAGGGAGGAAGGTCTCCATGTCAATGTTTGTCCATTTGAGTGCTCACTCCGTTGGATTTAGTATTTATTAGGGATGCACCGATACCGGTATCGATACTGATTTTTTTTTCGGTACTTGCCGATACCGAAAGACCCATTCAGAAAGCCAGGTGGCGTGTAATGACTAGCCCCCCTGGCTTCCTGATTATCAGGGAAGCCGTCCCCATGCTTCTCGTCACTAGGCGACGAGAAAGCATGGAGCTGGCTCTCTGGCCAATCAGGAAGCCGGGCGCCGTGTAATGACATGACACCTGACTTGCTGATTGGCCGGTTCCATTCTCCCTCGTCATGAGGTGACTAGGGAGCATGAAGCCGGCTTCTCGGCCAATCAGGAAGCCAGGCAGAGCGTCATTACACGCTGCCCGGCTTCCTGATTGGACAGGAAGCCGGCTCCATGCTCCCTTGTCATGAGGGAGCATGGAGCCAGCTTCCTGGCAATTCAGGAAGACGGGCAGCATGTAATGACTCGCTGCCCGGCTTCCTGATACCGGAAGTACCGGGCTAGGCATCGAAGCATTTGGGCGAGTACGAGTGCTCGCCCAAATACTCAGCATCTATACTAATATCGGAATTGGTGCATCCCTAGTATTTATTATAAATCCAAGTTGAATAAACCCCTCAAAAGGGTCTTTGCAAGAAAGCAGACTTGGGGAAAATGTGGCCTCCCCACAAGGGTCCACAAAAGATGCAAGAAACTAGTTTTACCGAGGTGTCAGCACACCTAACTATATTGACAGTAGTAAGCATTAAAAAGTAGCATCTACTGATCCTCCCGTCTCTGAACCTACAAAGAATTCTGTAAAACGGACAAGTTTCCTTCTAGCATTTAACAATTACCTGTTGAGCTGCAGATTTCTTTGGAGGAGTTTTCACTAGGTTCTTTATGCCAAATATCTCCTCTATTGGACGGGTATTTTCAGCTGACTCGGTGTTTGTAGTAGGTGTACTCATCAAGTGACTTATGTCAATATCCTCCGCCGGTTGCCCTCTCACTTTGGGTGTCGTCATTAAGCGCTTTATTCCAACCATGTCTTCCACCGCCTCTCCTCTCACCTTTGGTGTCCGCATTATGCGCCTGACACCGGTGTAAACTTCCACAGGTTCTCCTTTTTGTCTTGGCGTCTTCATAATACGTGTTATTCCCATCTTGTCTTCCACAGGTACTCCCTTCTGCCTGGGAGTCTTCATGAGTTGTGCAATGCTAAGCACCTCAAGGTTAGCGGATCGACGAGTGTATGATTGTGTGGATTCGGGTTGTTTTGGCGTCTTCAACAACTTCCGTAGTGCATGTGGATCGGTAACAGGTTTTCCCTTTTGTTTTGGTGTTCTCATGATGCGCTTCACCCCTGTAAGCCCGACTGATTTTCGGTTGTTCTTACTAAACTTTGAGGCTTCTAGCTCAGCATTTTCGGACACTGTAACTTTACTTAATTCTGGTGACACTGGAACTTCAAGGAGTCTAGAAACAGCATCTCTGGCAAATTGCTTTCGCTGGGTTGTAGCAGGACTGTTTAATGGTGAAACCACCATTTCACCTGGAAACAAAATTAAAACTATTAGCAAAGCCTACCAGCATTTAAATGTTAAAGAGACACTGACCTTGCTCATCAGGTTAAGCATGCAGCATTGTCCCTAGAGGACAGAAATGTTTTAGGACTACAGAACATCTCCTTCCTGTACACTGTTAGGATAAAGTGTTCTGTAGTTGACAATGAAAACAGTCAGGTGGCAGAGAGAACAGAATGTTATCGGTTCACAGGTTTTCTGGCAGGACCAAACAGTTGTATTTTTAAATTTGACATAAAATCCTTTCAATGGCATATTTAACAAAACAAAAACAAAAATAGTAATTAGGGTTTAGATTCACTTCAAGTTCAATATTGTAAGTGAAAAAAATGCAAGGACTAGAATCAAAGAAATCATGACAAAGTAGATCAATGTGCTTTGTTAAAATAGGTGCAAGCCAAATGATAAGGAAATAGAGCTGCACCTGTATCAGTCAGATCAGTAAAAAGGAAACCGATTGGCCACAGACCCCACTATGCCAGTCCTAACACTCACCTGCTTCCTCTGGTGTTTGCATCACAGACATTTCAGTGGTTGACTTTGGTGTGCCTGCTTTAGACCCATCAAATCTGTTGCTTTTGCGCTGTTTTGCACTCTCAGGTGTGCTGAATAACTCTGCCATGCCTAAAATAGAAAACAAATCCTGTTATAGCCAGCATTACAAATCAATGGAATTAAATATCCTAATTACAGTATGAATCTGCATCCAGGAACACACAAGAGCACACACACCAATGGGACCTTTTTTTTTTTTAGTCTGCTCCTCCCTTGCTTGGACTAATGTAAAAATAAAAGTGAGAAGCTGGCTGGGTGCATGTCCTATATTAAAGGAGAACTATGAGGCGAGTGAAAAATCACTCAGCCTTATAATCTGATCCGACCTGCGACAATTAAACTGTCACAGGTTGGGGAGTGAACACATACCGTCGCTCGCTCACTTCTCGATCTATCGCTGCAGAGAGCCGTGACTGTCACTCATGGCTCCCTGCAAGGATTCCCCCCATATCCTGTCCGTGATACCGACAGTGATGTCGGTATCCGTCCTGGCTGCGGCGTCTCAGTATACCGCGAGCTGTTGCTCGCGATACACTGAGCTTTGGGTCACGGGAGGACGATAGTTTGTGTCCTCCCGTTACCTTGGGAGAACTATGGGGAAAAGCCCTAACCCCATAGCTCTCCTTTAAACATAAGACAACTTATCACAGGGACCGTGCACCCGCAGAAATCAGTGTATGGTGTTAACTTTTAAACGGTCAATATGAAAAAATTAAAGCAGACAATGCTGATGCTAGAAATTTGTATTTGAGTGCACTCAATGTGCTATATAGACTGAGTAAAGGTCGGTGTTAGAGCTACAATGAATGGTACCATCATACAACAAGCAGTGAAGACTAAGGTTTGTCACCAGCAACGGTCAATTACAAATAGAAGTATTTAGTGTTATCATAAAAAATGGTGCCCCGGGTGAACCCTATTAAGGCAACAGGGGCTGCTGACGTAACGAAGGTCTGCCTGAGGCCCTGAAACGTCACATTTTCTTATTATGCGACAGCAATAAATACTTCTTGTAATTGACCTGGTGTGCTAGTGACAAATCTTAGTCTTTATTGCTAGTGACATGCAAAACTGACACTTTCACAAACACAAGGACAGAAAGACAAACAGCAAAAGCAGGGTTCTCAGACTCGCAGCACCCTTGGATAAAAAAGGTATTAACTAGGGATGCACCGATACCAGTATCGAGTATCAATATTCCCAGCTAATCAGAAAGCTGAGCGCCGTGTCATTACACGGCGCCCGGCTTCCTGATTGGCCGGGAAGCCGGCTCCATGCTCTCTCGTCATAAGTGTGACGTGCTGCCCAGCTTCCTGATACCGGAAGCATCGGGCTAGGCATCAGCACCTAGTATCGGTGCATCCCTAGTATTAACTGTAGAAGAGGTCACAAGACTCATTTCAATTTTTACATTAGCCACCTGAGGCCAATAGCACTGTTGTCCAAGCAAATTTCGAAATACAGATGCAAGTTACTTACCAGTAAAGCTTTCATTGTGAGGTGGGTTCAGTTTTACAGCCTCATTTCTGACCACCTTTGGTACGTATCCGGTCAAGTTCAATGTTCTTGTGTAAGCTCTTCCAACAATAATAGTTGCAGGAGAATCTGCATGGCCTGTGCTGGATACATCCTTTGCCCTTTTTGCTGGAGTCTAAAAACACACAAAAGGAGAAGTGTGAATACACAAAAACAAACCCCAAATCATAAAATTAAAAAAGGCAAACAAGTACCTTTGGTTTAAGTTTCTTCTTAGTAGCCACTGCCTTCCGAACAGGTTTATCGATTTTCTTCTGAGATTTTGCAACACCGATTTTGACCACATCCGCCCATGATTTAGCCACTGCAAAGCAACAAGAAGCACGGTAGCTCTTCATGCCATTTAAAGACAACAGGAAATATTTGGTGAACATGCATTTTAAAGCATTTGCATTTAAAAAAAGGATTGTGGGTGGGCAAACTATGTCTGCCAACAATAAAAGTGGATTACCAATATGGCTGCACTGCCTAACAGGGCCATGCAAGTCTCAGGAGGGGTAGACTAAATTAAAAATCCTGACAGGTAAAAGAGCCCATTTTAAAAAGGAACATTTGTTTCTCAGCAAGTGTGTTTTTCAACTGCATTTAGCTGTGTCTTGAGTTTCGCTTTAAAAACCTCTGGTACAAACAAAATATTACTACCCAGAACCATGTAACCCAAGTGGTCTGAGACCTCACCCCTGTCAAATCACATTGTTCCAAAAAACTATAATCCTAGTAGTGTAGGGGTTTTTGAGCAGGCGCTTCGTTCAAAGCTTTTAAAAATCTATCACAACGCTACTCAATATTTTAAGGCTCAATAGACTTTTAAATAATCGAAATCAAGATACAATATACAGAAAAAACACTTACCAAGCAAGTTGGCTTCTGAGGCGCCACTGCGCCTTCTGGCACGAATAACCTCAAAGGCATCAAATTTTCGACTTCTTCGGGCTGGTGTTTTCTTTGATGTCAAGGACTTTCGAGTATGCTTTGGAGTGTGTGATGCAAGAACTTTAGAAACATTCTCTACCACCTGGGGTGGTGTAGCCACACGAGAAACAGAGAATCGCCCCTTGGTATATGGTGTAGCAGGAGAACGATTTGCTGGAGATATTGAGACGGATGACTTCTTGGCAGATGCTGGAGATCTTGTGAGTTTAACAGGGGCTGGAGTACTGGGTGATTTTGCAACTGGAGACTTAACTGGAGACCGCTTGGCTGGGGTGGACAATTTAGCAGGAGACTTCTTAGCCGGAGTCGTGGATGGTGATCTTCCTGGCGACCTCTTGCCTGGGGTGGACAAGTTGGCAGGAGACTTCTTAGCCGGGGATGTGGATGGAGGTCTTCCTGGTGACCTCTTGCCTGGTGTGGACAATTTAGGAGACTTCTTAGCTGGAGACCTTCCTGGCGACCTCTTGCCTGGGGTGGACAACTTGGCAGGAGACTTCTTAGCCGGAGTTGTGGATGGAGGTCTTCCTGGCGACCTCTTGCCTGGTGTGGACAACTTGGCAGGAGACTTCTTAGCCGGGGTTGTGGATGGAGGTCTTCCTGGTGACCTCTTGCCTGGTGTGGACAATTTAGGAGACTTCTTAGCTGGAGACCTTCCTGGCGACCTCTTGCCTGGGGTGGACAACTTGGCAGGAGACTTCTTGCCCGGAGATGTGGATGGAGATCTTCCTGGCGACCTCTTGCCTGGGGTGGACAACTTGGCAGGAGACTTCTTAGCCGGAGATGTGGATGGAGATCTTCCTGGGGACCTTTTGCCTGTGGTGGAAAATTTAGCAGCAGACTTCTTAGCCGGAGATGTGGATGGAGATCTTCCTGGGGACCTTTTGCCTGGGGTGGACAATTTGGAAAGTGTAGTGGCTTCAGATTTTATCAGGGACTTCTTCACTGGAATGGGAGATCTGGAAGGAGATCTCTTACCTGGTGTTGTGGATGGGGTTATTAAAAATTTCCTGACAGGAGTGGGAGGCAAGGATTTTACAGGCGACTTCTTGGCAGAAACTGGCACATTTGAGAAAGAGCGCTTGGCAGAAGTTGCGGGCTCAGGTTTCACTGGTGTCCTTTTGACAGGAGTCTTGGATGGAGAAATGACAGGTGACTTTATGGACGGAGAGGTTCTAAGTGGAGTAAGGGACAAAGTCTTGGATGGAGATTTGTTTGGCGATTGTTTAACAGGCGTTCTAGCAACAGAGAGTGGAGATTTACTTGGTGACTTTTTATTCACAGCTGAAGATCTTTTTGGAGAGGACACCGAGATATTTGCCGGGACTGCCTCAGTCACGACAATCTGTGCTCCTTTTGAAGATGAAGCTCTCCTGGTTGGTGTTATGAATGTGACTAAGGGAGAGCTTACATCCTGCATAGCAGATCGTTCAAGAACTTCCTACAATTTACAAAAAAAATAAAAAATAATGAACATAACAAGAAGTCCTAAAGTCATTAAAAGTTTAAATACTGTTAATATATGCTTGTCTTTACCTTTATCATAGTCTGCCGTAAACCAAAACTCTTCCTCATAACAGCACGTGGAGAGTGAAGCGATAAACTTCGTCTAGCAGGAGTCGCCCCCTTCTTAAGGGGAGAATTTGGAGGAAGCCTTTTATCAAAAAGCTCCGGGCTCAGATGTCCACCAAAAGAGACTCTCTTCCTTTTAAGGGGTGGCTCAGTCAGTCCAAGATCATCACTACGTCGTTTCTTTGGAGACTTTCTTGTTGCAAGTCCTTAGGAATAAGAAACATTGAAATTTGGAGTAAAACCATTCACAAAGTAACATTCAAATTAAAAAGTCTGATTTCTAATTATGTGCAACATGTGAGATGCAATGACTAGTTTAATCCCTTGCAAAGCCACTGAAAAGAATATACTTCTCTAAATAGTTCTTAAATACACTTTTCATAAGAGCAACAATATGGGGGACATCTGCCACTGCTTGCCACCTAAAAGGCAGATAATCTGGCTATGTATGCGTTCAATATACAAGTAAAAAAACTTGGAAAATACATCTGCCAGTAATTTATCGAATCTAAAGCATTCACTTTAAAGTCACTGCAGAGGACAAAGGTGCGTCTGGAGCGAAGAGCATACAAAAAGCACCACAGGCTGGTGACCCAAGGAGTATCCGATTGCCTTATGTGTGTGCCGCGCATGTATTGTGTGCCGTGCATTTATTGCGTGTTCTATGTGTGTATTAGGTGTTGTATTGTGTGTACCGTGCGTGGAGTCAGTGGTGCAGCAACTGGGGAGGGAGGAAACAGTTTGGCTATGTCAAGCACAAAGATTTGGGGGTGGTCAATGGCCAGGCAACCAATACAAATAAGCCTGTGAAGCCAGTGACACTGGCTTCACTAGCCCCTTGCATCAATACAGGATACTGTAGTGATGTAGGGGCCACTTGATTAGAGCGCAGCATGAACAGAGAATCAGATACTCCCAAAAGTGTCAGTTTCAGAGGATTCTTCAGCTGGCAATTTCTCTTCACTAAACCAGAGATTGGCAACGGGAGAGGTAAACATCTAAGTTCTATGAATGGCCACTTTATTTTTGGTGTTAGCATGTTGCTAAACAAGAGCCAAATTTCTTACGCTAGAAAGTATTTTTTTTACAGGAAACAGCAGCTTATTTGTCCTAAAATCCAGCAATTTCAAAAACATGAAAACATTGCAAGACATTACCTTGAGCTCGTTCATTTACTTTTTCTTCTGTTCCAACAGGCTTAGCTGGTGTTCCCTTAGTCTGATCTTTAGATCCGCTTCGTCTGCCCTTAGGAGATTGAACTGGCAGAGGAGAATTTTCTTGGTTCTCTATACCAGTTGGGTGAGGAGCGGACTGGCCCCTGCTTGTCCGACGGCTAGAACCAGCAGGTGAGGGCACATTCTCAGCACTTCTAGATCTCCTGGGAGATTCCTTCTCCAGGGAAACTGAAGCCTCTTGTTCTTGAGACACTTGTTGGTCGGACCTTCTCCGTGGAGTCTGGACATGGTCCTGTGCAGCCTCTTCATCTGTTGAGCTGCTCTGTGCAGAATTTGAAATGACAGGACTATTGACTCCCACTGCACTGCCTTGCTTCTGTTTGGTGAAAGAATTTCTGGGCCCTCTTGAGGGGCTTTTTGACTGTTCCCTGACGCTGTAAGCAGAGACTGATCTAGGTTCCACCTTTAGATCTTTGCTTTGAATTGTTGCGCTGTCACTTGACTGACTTCTTTTAGAGTCTCGCCTGGAAGTGGCAGGAGACTGAGAAACTGCTTCGGCCTGAAAATTCCTCTTCACGTTCACATTTTTTGGAGAGCTGCTACTTTCCTTTACTGGGGTCTGACCATTTTCTTTCTTTGTAGACTCGACTTTGCTTTTGAGCATTTTATAGAGTTCACCGAAAGGAGACTGGTCTTTCTTTGACTCTGATGAAGTGGTCTGCAGCGAGCGACGAGTATGAGTTGTTCTAATAACATTTCCTTCAGATTTTCTCTGGACTTTACTGGTCGTTATACTTTCTATCCGCACCGTTTCATCTGTGTAAATACAAAGACATTATTAGTAAAAGGTTTCAGTGCTTGACAACCTAATAAAGTTACACTTAAAGACAAAATCTTACTTGTGTCCTCAGACTGGTTACTGGCAAATAACTGGAAGGAGAAAAAAGAAAAGGAAATGTAGAATTATATATACACACACACACACACGCGCAGGTTTGCCAAGAAAAAAAATGTACCTTAAAATTTTCAGAATCAAGCCCTGCAGATCGCCGCCTTCCTTGTTGTACCTGAGGGCTCTCAAATCTGCAAATACAAATTGAGAACTTAAATGGCTTTCCTGTCATTAAAGATTCATGGTTTGCAAGTTTTCAAATTGAGACTATGAAAGCATGTGCTACTACACCATTCTGATCTTTTGCACTAGTGAGGTGCCCAATTTATAATCTAATACCTGCCATTAAAAGGTTACACAACATAGAGACCTGAAGAAAACTATGCAAGATAATTTAAATAGGAGTATGTAAACCCAAAACGTTTCTGAAGGGGTGAAGTGTTAGCACCTCTGCCAGGTTTCTATTGCTGAGCGCTCACTTTAGGAGATGCATTCTATTAGTCTTGTTCACCATTGTCACTGGATCAGAAAGTAATGTGAAATCCAAAATTTGGATTTGTCAACAGAACTGGAGGTGAAGGTTAAAGTGTATGCATCTGCCAAACTCCTGCCAGTTTACTTTTTGCTGTCTGTGTGCCATTGAGGAAATTTTCTTTCACTTCTGGTGCCTTTAAATGCAACAGGAAGTTAAAGTTAGAGGAAATTTCCAAAAATGAGTGCAGCTTCCTGTTGACAGCCAGAACAGGTGTGCCCATTAGAAGATGTCCCCTTACATCTTGTTAGATGACCGCTGTAAACATTTGGATCTCTCCTCTTTTTAGGCTAGGTTCACACCTGCACGACACCCGGGATCGCACGGTCCTGCACAATGAGGGCAGCAATTGCTGTGCGGCCCCATTTCAATGGGGTGCCATCCGCGCGTAAATCGCAGAAAAAAAAAGGGTACATTCACTTTTTTTGCGATACATGACGCTTGGCTGTCTTAGCGTGATCGTGTTTGGAAGCACGGGCAGAATTGCGGCAGGAAACCGTGCGATACGCCTGATGTGTGCCATTTGAAAATAATGGCACCCACCTTGGTGACTTTCGGCTGCGCTGCAATTGTGCACGATTGCCGCGCGGTGAGGTGTCGCCTAGGTGTGAACCTAGCCTTAGGGTGAATCTCCTCAATGAGGACAGACAGGCGGGAACGAGTGCTAAGCCCAGGACCTGAAGCAATCAGTTCTTGGGCTTCTGAAGCTTCTACAGCTTACTCCATGGCAGGCACCACAATAATATACACATGATAGCAATGAGAAAATGTAAAAAACAATTCTCAAGTTTAAAAACTTTTCTAACCACCGCATACAGTCCACCATCATATCATCTGCAATGAGGGCACATTTGAATCCCTCTTAAAGTTATGTTTAAAATATTTTCATTTGTTAAATCTGCCAAATTTACTCTGCAATGGGAACATTTAAAAACCCGAGAAACAAAAAAAAAAAAACATGCTTTCCCACAGTAATACGCCCCCAGTCTCCTTGTCCATAGCACTCACATTTTCTTATTGAAAAAAAAAAAGTCTAGATTTCTGCAAGAAAAAGAAAGAACTTACCTAAAAGAGCGATCAATAATGGTGATGATATCTCCATGTTTGAGGCGTACAGTCTGTTTAAGAGCATTCCCATTCAACTGAGCTGGGTTCACTGAACTTAAATTGGTGACCAACACCTAAAACAGGAAAATCCTTATGAGTATACAGGCACATTATACGAGTAATGCGGCATATTTTACTACAGGTCTTTGGGCAAGTTCTTCAAACACTTCAAAGAGCACCATCAATATAAAATGTGTTACATAAAACCTTTTCTTAGGAATTCTTATTACTGTCACTAGAATTCCAGTAAACTTGAAGGGTGGTGTGAGTGGAACATCTAGGTGCTGACAACTGATTATACAAGTCTCTTTAGCAACAGGTGTATTTAACCCCTTCGTGACTGACGTACAGTGTACGTCGCCAGCATCGGGGCTCAGCTGCGGCGGCTCAGTATACCGCGAGCAGCAGCTCGCGGTATACTGTGGCGTCTCAGTATACCGCAAGCTACAGCTCGCGGTATCTTTAATAGTGAAGAAAAAAAAAAAACATTTAAAAAAGGAGAACTATGAGGTGAGCGATATACACTCATCCTCATTGTTAGAGCGGGTGTGTGACAATGAAACTGTCGCACTCCAGCTCTATTGATCGGGAAGTCAGCGAACACATACTGTTCCAAATCATACACTTCCAATCATCTCCCTGCAGAGGAGCGGTAACTATTAGGCACCGCTCCCCACAGGGATTCCCCCCTCCCCTCTGCAATCCACCAGCGCTGACTGGAGAAACAGATGGGGAGAGGGCGGGCACATCTGGCTCTGCCTCTAGATAGGCAGAGCCTGCTGTCAATCAGCCAACTGGGTGGATATCAACAGCATTATCGGGATCCGCCCCGGCTGTGGCGCGCTCTCAGTATATAGCAGGCTGTAGCCCACTATATACTGAGCTTTGGGTTGTAATGTTAGTATATGTCCTCCCCTGAGCCTAAAGAGAACTATGGTATAAAAAGGTTACCCTGTAGTTCTATTTTAAACCTCATGAGTGTAATTAAACCTGGCAAGCTGCAACCTGACATTGGTGGATAATTGTCACTCATTTTTGGTAAACAAAATATTTGTGGGCTTCTATATACTCCAAGCTTGATTTTTATAAGCAAACACCAATAAAAAAATATATAGATATCAGCAAAAGCATAATATTTACCTCTCCATTTTCCTTGACTTCAACTTTACAATGCTCTTTGGAGACATGTGGCAGCTGAATGCGAATGTCACATTCTGATTTCCTGTGTCAAGAAAAAAAAAAACACCACTATTAATGTTTCGTACTTATCCAAATTTTACCAAACAAGTGTGTATCCCCAATTCAGGTCAGAATTTTTACAAAATATTAGCAATCATGCAATCCTGGCACGCCTAGCCAAATTTGATTAAGTGAGGCATCCATGACAGATTTGTAGGCCAAGAAAATTAGATGCTGGGGTGTACTCCAGCCTTGTTACTAGTAATGGCAGAGATGAAAGTAGGAAAGGAGTGTTGGGGTTCCTGTAAGTTATCATTACACCTGAATAGTTATAACATTCAAATAATAAAAGATGAATTTCCTTACCTTCCAAACAAGCATGTAGCTGCAGTCAGTGGAAAATGGGTTCCATCAGCACCACTTCTTTTAATCACAATAATTTTACCACGGCAAGGCATCTTTAAAATATTCTTACCTACAGAACAAAAAATAAAGTGTCAATGTAGGCATGATATCACAGCCTTTAGGTTACCTGATCAATGTCTCACAAAGTAATGCTTCAGCATGTGCCACAAATTACACTGGCAGATGCCAAGGATCATCACGATGTCTGAATATCTATGTGGCACAAGGTACTCCACTGGCCAAAGTTAAAGGAACACTAAGCTCAGGAGTTAAATCTTAAAAAAGAACTCAAGCACCTTAACTGTTAACAAAAATGTATCTTATTTGCGCATGTCAGCACCAATTCAGAGATGAGTTGAGGATCTACAGCCGAGTGATACACAAATAAGATACACTTTTGTTAATAGTTAAAGTATTTGAATATATTTTTAAGATGTAACTCCTGAGTTTAGTGTCACTTCAAATTAGTATACTCGACCATCAGGAAAATTACAAGCAATGCCAGACTGACAGTACATGAAATCGTGTTGTTCCTTTGCTACAAATGCAATAGAAAAAAAAGGAGTCATATGGAGTTCATTAGATTTTAAACTTTATAGAATATATAAACAATCTACTAAAGTATGTAAAGTTTGTCAGCTAGAGAAACCAAACACCGCCCTCAGGAACAGAAACAAGCTGCAGGCTTTGACAAGGAGCTGTGGCAGACCGAGCACATGGCCATGTAACGCATGTGACTGATAAGGCCCTATCCAGCCCAGCAAGTGCTGACTGTTTATTCAGCTTCACCTGAAGTCATACAATATGGTGTCAGGATACCGAACAAAACTGAAAGCATGGCCCCAACATTCTAGAATAGAAGTCTGCCAGTGAAATCTGCCAGCAATGCACCTACAACATGAACCTATACAATAGATCTGAATATTTTATCTTTGAACCGCTTATTCAGCCCTCTTCTGACAATTGGTCTCCACGCTGTCCATGGTGTTGAAGACATGAAACAAAATCAGTAAAAGGCAGTTGAAAATATTCAACTATACCTCTTCTCAAACCTTCTAGTTCCTAAAAAGCTGATGGAACGGATGCCAAGTTCAACAAAGTACTGAACGTTTCACAAGTACGAGTACAATGAGTACAGTTACACTTTAACTGGACAATCTTTTACACAAATCAACGACTATATGTCTAATATCACCATTCATTAGCGCAGACATGACCTCAAGACCATCATCAGTTTTGTAATTAGACCTAGAAGTATATCCAGCAGGTACACACCCACCTCTTACACTGAGCTCAATGTACAGTCTAGCAATCAGAACTATCACGATGCCAAACTGACATTACATGAAATAGTGTGGCATCAACACAAACTTTCTCATATGCACATTACAAAGTATTTATACAGCGCTTTACATGGAGCACATTCACATCAGTCCCTGCCCTCAGGGCACATTCACACCACATCAATCACCAGACCAGATTGTTTCCAAACCCAAAATGCATCCTAATGTATCCCTATGCTATGTCTGTCATCTGTTCACACCAGCACAGTCCGTACCAGACCAGACAAATACTGCATGTCTCATTTTGTCTGGAATGCACTGGAACTGTGGACAGGTTCACACCATTTTCCTTGCAGATAGTGTCCTGACCAGGATTCAAACCAAGGACCTCAGTACACGGCAAAAGTACTAACCACTGTGGTTTGCTTGGGTCAGGGTTCTCCGCTTGTCACCAGCTAGCAGAACCTTGGCAGAATGGACCCATACTAGGCACAAAAGCAATTGGCATGTACTTACCAACCAGCCAATGCATATGGCGTTAACCTTGCCTCGAATGAACTCAAGACTTTCAGCAGCTTCGATACCTCCCACTAAACACATACGTGGCAGCATACAGTGGGCAAAATATATTTATCGTTTGCGTGCAGGGAGAGGGCTCATTTGCGCGCCCTCAGCAATGTGACCGAGCCGTCACAGGTCTAAAAGTAATGGTTGGGAAACCCATAAAGGAGAATGTTACACTATTGTTGCTGGACACCTACTACAAGCAATGCACACCTATGTGGTGTCCCCATGCAGGCCAGGAGAAATTATTTTGGCTGTTTTTCGGTGGTGGTCATGGCAAGAAATATACAGCTACATTTAAAAAAACCAATGTGGGGGTTATCACAAATGGGGCTGACAGAATCTGGAGCAGTTGCCCATGGTGACGAATCAGCTTCACACTTACTAAACTAAAGAGAGAAGCGGATTGGTCACCATGAGCCACTGCTCCAGTTGCGATACATTCCCCTCTCTTTATAACTATTTTGAAACATTTTTCCTTTACTAATTAAAAAAAAAAAATCAGACCACCATGGACTTCTGGCATGAAGGGGGTTAAAAACCCTGATGTGTCAAGCACACACATCTGTCAGACTAAGCAATACAAGAACTGCGCTGCAACAATAAGACAGAATAGATCAATAAATATAACTAATAACTTATGTAAACATCCAGCAAATAATTATAAATAAAGCCTAAAGTTGTACATCCTAGCCCCGACCTGAAGACAGATTCCCCGCTACACAGCAGCCTATTACAGATTCCCTGCTGACAAGCATGCACTGCACGCAGATCAGAGATTGGCATAAGCTTGTTAGTCGGTCCATATACCCAGACAGATGTACACAGAGCCACGTGGGACAAGGGGGGGGCACCATGCTCCCATCAACATGTGAATAGCCCGCTCCCCCCATGCTTAGACAACATAACAGATGTTTTTACAACATCAGCAAAAAGTAACCAGAGACAAGAAAAAAAAAAGGAGACAACACAGGGCTGCTAGCTGCAGCCATCACCTTCCCTGACATGCAGCACCTGGCAGCCACCCGCACAGGCCTTCACTGCAAACAGATGTGCCCAGCATGGCCACCAAACCCTACCTGTGCCAGTCAATGTAAATGCAGACCTGTAGGCACGCAAGTAGACCCCCCCCACCCCAAATTAGGCACTGTTGTAACCCTGAGCAACCAAACTCTGTACAGACAGGGCCCATTATAAGGCAACGTGGTGTCCGTGACAACCACGCATGCAGGCCCCCGATAAAGGTAATGTACCCCCGGCAACCAAGCCTGCTAACAGGCCCCTTATACTCAATGTGTCCCCCAACAACCAAACCTGCAGGCAGGTCCCCATAAAGCAATCTCGTGACTGTTGACAACCAAACCTGCAAGTAACCAGAGCCCTTATAAGGCAATGTTGTAACACCTGACAACCAAAACTGTAGGTAGACAGGCCACCCATATGGCCACAAGGTTTCCCTTGGCAACCAACCCATCAAGAGCGTTACAACAGCGGGCTCCCTCCTGCCCTAATCCCAGCCGTGCGTCCGTCGCCAGCCCGCCAAGAGCTCCGAGATGACACTTCTGGAAATTGGCGGGCCGGCCTCCTGCGCCACTCGCCGTGCAGCTCGAGTATGAGAAGGGAAGCAGGCACTAACCTGAGTACGAAGAAGGAACCAAAGGCGGAGCGCTCTCACTCCATGAATCCGTACAGACCCCGGGCGCACACACGCTCACTGGTCGCCGAGTTAGCCGCTATCCGTTACTGGCAACTGGGCGCCACGGCGTAGTCAGCAGTGCGCAGGTGCAAAACGCCGTAAGCGGTATCACTCCGCCGCTTTACTTACCGGCCAATGTCGCAGCTACAGGGCGGATCGGCGACGGCGACACGTTCCCCCCCGCGCGTTAAGTCCCGTCGCTACGGACGTCCTGCCGCCTATCGGTGCCGCCACAACGAAGCGAGAAGGGCTCCGGGCGAACTATTTCCTTCGGCGCAGGGATACGGCGAATATGCATGAAGTTTTAAAAAGTGTTCGAAAAGCAGCGCGAAGAGGTCCTATTGGAGGCGTGGCGTCACGTGAGGGCGGCCGCGGCCAATGAGAAAGGAGGTGGGCGGATACGGGGAGGGGACAAAATAGTGCGCAGTTTCCCCAAACAAAGGCGGCGAGAGAGAAGAGACGTGTTTTAACTATGGCGGCAACGCAGAGCTAATAGGTGCCGACAAACGACTTCTCCTCTCACACTGCCATGTGAATTATGACTCGACCATCCTCCAAACAAGCACAGTCCCAATGAATCGTACCTGCGAGGGAACACGAATCCCAGAACAGAACCTGATCACAAAGCTAGTGCCCGGTGATCCTGCCTGCCAGGAAGGGTTCTGATCAGGCATTTCCTAAAACGTGCTTCCGCTGATGGAGAATACACAGCTATGACATTGCACCCTATACCACTGCTGGCTCTCGCTCAGCCCACTGGCCCATGCGCTAAAACCCAGCGTGTTAAAGTGCTGGTTAGTGTGACTGAGTCCCTAGACCAGGGGCAGCCAAACTGGTTCTCCAGCTGCAGTGAAACTACAAATCCCATAAGGCATTGCAGGCTATGACAGCAACAGGCATGACTCCTAGAGGCAGATGCATGCTGGCATTTGTAGTATCGGCATAGCTGGAGGGCCGAGGTTTGCCCTAGAGTTTAGATTTACTATAGATCAAATTTACACTACAGCAGATGTAAACCGACCACATCTCTACGAGATTGCTTCATTGGTACAATCCAACTCTGACCATTCACACACATAGAAACAGAAGAAAAGGACCAAGTGTTACATCCAACCTGCTCCTTTTTTCCCCCATCCTTTTATCAGAGTGTAGATCTATGTCCAAAGAATGATTCACTTACTGTGGACTGAATCACTACCTCTGCTGGAGGTCTGTTCCAAGCATCAACTACTCCTTTGGTACAGAGTTACAGTGGAACTTTCCTCCTGCTAGTTTGAGGTCATATTCGGGACCTCTGTCGCGTCCTCCTGCTGGAGATCCCTCTAGTGATAACTAAAGATCTATATAGAGGAATCAGGACCTCCCTCCTGCTGGGGATCCCTCTAGTGATAACTAAAGATCTATATAGGGGAATCAGGACCTCCTTCCTCCTGCTGGGGATCCCTCTATTGATAACTAAAGATCTATATAGAGGAATCAGGACCGCCATCCTCCTGCTGAGGATCCTTCTAGTGATAACTAAAGATCTATATAGAAGAATCAGGACCGCCTTCCTCCTGCTGGGGATCCCTCTATTGATAACTAAAGATCTATATAGAGGAATCAGGACCTCCCTCCTCCTGCTGGGGATCCCTCTAGTGATAATAAAGATCTATATAGAGGAATCAGGACCTCCGTCCTCCTGCTGGGGATCCCTCTAGTGATAACTAAAGATCTATATAGGGGAATCAGGACCTCCTTCCTCCTGCTGGAGATCCCTCTAGTGATAACTAAAGATCTATATAGGGGAATCAGGACCTCCTTCCTCCTGCTGGAGATCCCTCTAGTGATAACTAAAGATCAGGAATCAGGACCTCCTTCCTCCTGCTGGTGACCCCTCTAGTGATAACTAAAGATCAGGAATCGGGACCTCCTTCCTTTTTCTAGTGATAAGCAAAGATCTATGTAGATCAGTATGGGACCTCCTTCCTCCCACTGGGGATTCCTTTAGTGATAACTTAAGATCTATATAAAGGGAGCCAGAGTTGTGTAAATACTGTAATGGGGGGGGGGCATTGATGATCAGCATTGCAGCATGGAGAGGGGAATGTGTATGGATGGCCGGCAAGGTATAGCAGTGGAGGAAGGAGAACATTTAGGAGACGAGTAACTCTGATTTGTGGCAAAATGTTGCAGGTTCGCCAGGGGGAAGCCCAACCTCCTTAAAGGTACAGGGACACACAAGTTATCTTTTGCTACATATGCTCCAAGATGGAGACTCTCATAGGTTAGAGGTAGGACCGCACTTTTATTGATATAACGCAGGAAGCACTAATTAGAAACTAGTGCATTTTTAGTGTGTGCCTTTCTTTGTTAATCCCCCCCCGGCCATTGGCTTTATAGAAAGGGAGAAACAAGTCATCTATTTCAAATACCTTTATATTATAATATCTATCTATATCTTTTGCAACCAGTTGGGGTTAAACCATTCACAACTTCCTACGACAAATGGGAAACACACATTACTAGGGAAGCTTAGATTGAAGTAGAGCAAACTTGGTTTCTTGATGTTATCGCCATGGTGGAAAAGGTCATTCAATTTCATTGATACCCCCTCTCCCTTAAGGTGCCCATACACTGCTCGATTCTCGAGCAGTGTGAACGAAGACGTGCTAACGTTTCTACTGTACGGTCGCACGTCTTTTGTCTAAGGAGCATGCTAGAAAACCAGCCGAGAATCGTACGATATTCGGCTGGTTTGAATGGTGCTCGGGAGACAAATGCCGAAAGGGCCGGTGTGCGCACCCGCACACTGCCCGTTCAGCATTGCGGTCATCGGAAGCCCGCCCCTCAGGGGGGCGGGCTTGCGATGATCGAGAGTACGATCTGCCTGTCCAAGATGGGCAGATCGTACGTTTTTTTAATCACTTTACAACCATTGCAAGAGGTCGCAAGAGGTCTTGCGATGGTTGTACAGTGTATGGCCACCTTTACACTCCAGACTGGCTGTGAAAGACGGGTATCGTACCCCATGCAGTGTGTCCGAGATGGGCTGATGTTGGCATCTGCTGGTTTCACACCTTTTGGTTGTCCTCTTTTCCTAAGATATCTTCCTTCTGGCAATAATGATATGTCTTTCTCGTTGATAATCAAGGCTTTACGGTCCCCACTACCCCAATGACCTCCTGCTTGGAATTGTTGAACACCCATTCTCATGTTGATACTCTAAAAGTAAGTTTTGACTGGCCACCCTGTCACATGGGATGGAGATTACCATTTGCTGTTACGGCACACATTAGGCTGACATGGTCCTTAGTTGTCACCTTCATGAAGCCCATCCTGAGAATTGGCATGCATCCGAGTCTTCTATCTTTCAGTGTGTAGGGGAGGAGGGTCCACCTACCATTATTCAGGGGTCACAGCATGGGTGACATGGACAGTTCCCAATGGCTGTCCAGTGGCAGGGTCCAGGGGCGTGATGACATCACCACAAGATGACCTGTCAGCACAGGCACAGACTGCAGCACTACATCACCTTCCCCAAAGCCACCAACAAGGGACACAGATGGCAGACTTGGGTTTGGGGAAAAAGGATGTTAGAGGGGCTTTGAGTAAAAAAAAAAGTTTAATTGGGGTGGTGACATTTTCAAGGAGAAGGGCTTAAACTGTAGGTTACTGAACTCACCAGCAGCTAGCAAAAACTAATATGTTGATTTTAAGTGGGAAATAAATTATGAAAATCCAGCAATTGTGTTCTTACAAATGACTCCCTGGTTACAATTACACAAGTAAATTCTGTTGCGTAGACTGAACATTTTACTAACAAAAAAGCAGGTGCACAGGAAATGTGATTTGTAGAAGCAACAACTATGAGCATAGCCCCGGAAAAGGTATACATTCAGAAAAACAGCTTTGCCATCTGCCTATAGTAATTTGCAACACCAAACATGCTTAGGCAGGCTATACATAGATACAGCGAGCAAACTGAAAAACATTGCAGCCCTTATATACGCATAGAAGTACAGAAATATGCATACATTTCCAGCTATGTATTATTGTGCAGCATATGTCATTCTACTCATATACAAAGCTTTCTGAACTCTTAGAAAAAGATTAGGTCTATATCTACTACATGTCATTGAAGTGATGGTTTTATTGGTTTGATATTTTGTGCTGCTGATCTCCTCGGGCGTCTTTCCATCAATCTTTCCATTTTGTCTACATGTGCTCGCTCCAGCATTGAATGCACATTATTGCTCTAGACCAGGGCTTTTTAAAGTGTGGGTTGCGACCCCATATGGGTTTGCACAAGTGAATGGGGGGAGCTCACAACTAAAACTCCGAATCCCCAGCCAGGGCTGCTATCAGGGGGGTACGGCCAGTACTCATTTGAGGGGCCCAGGCGACTGGGGATGCCCAGGCTCCAAGCAAGATTTTTTTTTATTATAGATTACTATGTGCAGTGTAAGTGGTAAGGTCACGAGGGAGCTCAGAGCTTTTTTTTTTTACCCAGCAGAAGCACAGCAGAGAGGGCAGCAGCAGAGCACAGCTGCTGGAGGGGAAAGGTACCTTTTTTTCCAACAGACATCCATTGGGCTGAAGGAGAAGGGAGACACCGACCGAGGCTGGGGGATGGGGGGGAGGAGAGAGATACCCGGGTTCATGGAAAAATTTCCTCGGGTGAAAAGGGGTCACGAGTGGAAAAAGTTTAAGAAGGCCTGCTCTAGACTAGCTTCCTGATAGTGACAGTCGTCATGTCTTCTTGCAGTCTTCACCAGGGGGACAATACATAAGCACAATCGGGAGGTAGTCATAACCCCACAATAGGAAGTACCTGAACAAGGACCTTCCTTCATGGCAGGATCACCAGGGATTATTTTACTGAAAGCTGCAGATTAAAAAAATATTAAAAACATCTTTTGAAATGATATTAACATGTTAAAGCTTCTATGAGATTTTATTCTTTTTTTTCCATGAGAACCCTTCTATGAGGGTTTACTTCTATTCCTAATATAT